AAAAAAAAAATGTGTAAAGCAGAGAGGAGTGGGCAACTGTCTAGAAGAACCACAGTCTCTCATTCAATGGAGCAGGTATCATGCTGCACTGCAATGGTGGAGCCGCATCAAGCAGGCGTTCCGCCACACTCGCCAAGCGGTGGGCGCACCGCGTGGGCATCGGCAACTTTGTCGCCTGCGTCGCCATCACGTGCGAGAGCGCATGCGACAGCTGCTGCACGTCCGACACATCCAGCGTGGGGCTCGTGCTGTGAACGGTGTAGTGCACTGTGCGCGCCGTAGACATGTTACAGTCGTGATTCTGCAGGTAGAAGGATGGCGCTGTGGCCTCCTCCTTTGTGTCTCTGCCCACAGCGTCCGGCAAGACAGGCGTGAGGGCCTGCACGACAGCGCCCTTCACCACGTTGCCGGCACGCGTCTTGAGGGCGCTGTGCTCGGCGCCCAGGCAGTGCACGAAGCGCACATTTGACCGCTTGTGGAGGCACATAAACGTGAAGCCACAGCCGGGGGGCACATGCGGCTGCATGCGGTGCATCTCGCTGTACACGTCGCCGTCCTGGAACACCACAACCTCATCCAGCCCGTCGTAGAGCTCACAGGCGCGCTGCAGCAGCAGTTGGAAATGCTCCGCGACCTGGTCCACTTCCTGCCCGCGCGCCTCGTGCTTCCAGAAAATCGGAAGCACATGGTTGCGCTCTGGCGCGCACAAGACGCCGACAATGCTGCCGGTGCTGAACGTCGTTGTGTGGCATGCGTCGATACCAACAACAAGAACGCGGCGCTGCGCCACCGCCGGCACTTCGCGCGCGATATCCACGCCACGGACTGGGTTCACTTCGAAGGCATTGCGAAGCCGCACCCTAGTGTTTTCGCACATCAGTGCCTGGTGCTTCGGTGATGCAGCGGGCGGCATAAATACCGCGTGAATGCCCCGCGAGAGACACTCCGCATGCACCCAGCGCGACGGGCGTGTGTCGCGCTCTGCGGCCACAATGACAGCGGCAGTGTTGGGGTCTGTCAGCGCCCCGTCGACGGTTGCGGTGGTGGTGGTGAGCTGCTGCACCAAGTACCGTACCGCCTCCTTCTCGTCTGTTACGGTGATAGTGGTGGTGGTGCGGAAGGCACGCGCCAGCGCCTGCGCGGTCTGTGTGACGCGTGCGCGCTCCTCTTCCCCCGCATGCGGCACCGCGATGGCGACAACTGCAACAGTCGTCGGAAACGCTGGCGGCGGCGGGTGCCGCAGCGTCTTTTGCTGCTGCTGTGGGTGGCGACGGCCACCGTTCTTCTCGAGCCCCCGCGACAACGTCTTCTGCGGGGTGGGCAGCAGCGAGAGCGCCCTGGAAGACCACGGCTGCGGCGCCAGCGCGAGACCCCACCGCTGCAGTCCGCCCTCCAGCGCGGCGCGGAACATCTCCAGGATGTCGAGCCGCGGTGCCGGCAGGAGCGAGCACGCGGCGACGGTGATGTCCTGCCACGACTTCATGCGGGGGTCGTAGCAGCAATGCAGTGCCTGCAGCGGTACGACGGTGTAGTCGCTTAGCACTGCATACGGCTGACTGGGCTCCAGCTCACAGGCGAAGCGCTGCAGCGCAGGGTCGAGGTCGATCTCGCTGGGCACGATGTTGAACCGTACAAGACGGATGGATGAGTGGCGCAGTGTGGCGGACGTTATCACCGGTGTGCCCTGCACAGAGCGTGCGATGCGCTCCTCCGTGGCGCTGTCGTACGGTCCGCTGCCAAAGTGCTGCTTCACCTCCTCCCAGAGAGAGAGCTCTGCTGCGACGGTGCCCTTCGTGTCGATCTTCAGCGCAAGCTCACCGGGCATTGCCTTTGGGGCCACATGTTGCTGCTGTTCTTCTTCCTTTCCCGCCGACCGCTTTCCGCCTTTCCTTTGCCGCCTTTTCGATGCCTTGGCACTGCTGGACGCATCCTCCTCGTCCTCTTCGTCCTGTCGTTGTTCCACAACTTTCAGCGCTGTTTCCCCCACAGTCATCTCCACAAGACGCATGCCCCCACGACTCTCAAACACACGGACCCGGAAGTTTGTCGCCTCGTACACCACCCCAACCTGGAGCCTCGCCGCCTTCGTGGCCTTCCACATGGATGCCATCGTGACGCCAGAGGCGTCCTCGATGCGGTAACTCTGCACAGGTGTGCCCTTATACTCAAACTCGCGCAGGAACTCCTTCACGAGAAATCGCAGTGCCTCTGCGGTGTGATGGCCTGCCGAAAGCGTCGTCAGCACGGAACTGGACGGCGGTGGCGGCGACACGGCAGCAACAGCAGATGGGGTCACCTCAATGGCGCCCCTCGTATCAATAAAGACGGCCCGCACGACGGTACCCTTGAAGATGCGCAGTCCACCCACAGTGATGCTGTCGTGCGTGTAGACCATTTTACCGTTCGAGTCCCGTGCGACGGCGTACTTTTTGTTTAGTGCACTGTGCTGCTGCAGCGCCCACAAAACGATCTTGTTTGTCAGCTCCTGCACGTCGGTGGGATCCAGCTGGGCCATGGGGACCCTACCGAGAAAGCGCAGCGTGCACGCCTCCCAGCCCAAGTCGAGGAACTCCGCCGGCAGCTGCAGCGCGGTGGCGGGGAGCGGGGCGGTGGCGTACACCTTCTGCCGCACGCACACCAGCGGTGGCGCATCGGGGACGCGGCGCTGCAGAAACCGCTGCACCACCCGCCACGCCCGCGTCGCATCGACTCGCTTGATGATTGGGCCAGAAGTATTTACCGTTGTCGTTGTTGCTGTTGCTTTTGCTGCTGCCCCCACTCCGCCGTTTTTCTTCTTGCGCCCCTTTGCTTTACCGACACTGCTCTGCTCACACTCGGCATCTGACGGCTTTGCGTGAAAGAGACGACGTGTGGCCTCGACTTCATACGTGTACAACGGTGACTCGGGGACCATCTTGAGGAAGTACAGGTTTGACATTACACCTCCTTCCCGCAGACGCTGACGCACGACGAACCGCGTCTTTTTATCGAGGAAGCGGTCGTTCGCGTAGTTGCGCTTGAGCTCCTGCAGCGCCACCGTTTCAGCCTCGCAGCACCAGAACGACTTGGACGCGGGTGCCGCCGCGGTGCCTTCAATATCCTTGTCGTGACTCCTGCTGCCGTTTCTCTGGCGCTGCTGCTGTTGTTCTTGGCGGCACCTCTGGCGTCCGGAGGGGGGCACGAGTGAGTGAAGCGCAACTGGTGCGAAAACCAAAGATGCCCTCTTCATCATTGCTGGTGTGTAATCGAATGACATTTAGGAGGAGTGGAGCAGCGTTGGTGAAACACAAACACAAGACAACAGGGCCAGTTAAATATACAGCGACATGAGGTGATCAAAGAACAAAGAGGAAACGACATGCCAAACGACAGCTCTGTCCGCTCATACACATCCCACACATGTACAGTTTAAACAAGAGCATTGGTGCATGGACCTGCCCCCACAGACTGAGGCGCAGACCAGCGGTGCCGCATGCCCACCCCAGTTCACTTCGTCACTCCAGATATTTCCCCGTCCGTTGTTTTGGAGTCACCACCTCCACCAAAAATCTATTCACTTCCTTATTCCATTGTTTCCTCTTTTTTTCTTCCCCCCACCACCACTTCACGTTCCACCCTCCCCTCCCCTGGGCCCGCGCGGTTCTCACGCAACGCGCTCGTAGAGGAGAATGTACGCCGTTGCGGTGATGACGCTACTCAGCGGCACCGGCACACCCCAGTACTGCCGCATCTCCCGCTCCGTCAGTTCCGTCACGGCGGTGTCGTCAAAGCGGCGCCACAGCTCGCCGTGCCGCACGCACGTGAAGTAGTGCCCGAGGTTCGGACCCTCACCGACGTGCGTCACGAAGCCACTAAGCGCAAAACGCCCTTTGCGCCGAACGACACCCTTCAATTTCTGCGCGAGGCGGGAGGACGGCTTCGGGGGATCGCACACTGGTGAAGCCGCACCCTGGGAGATGTCTTCCTTGTCGTTGTGACTCCAGCTTTCCTGGTTGTTGCTGCCATCGTTGTCCTCGGCCCAGGGCTCGTACTCCACCACGTCAAGTTCGCGTGGGAGCGCCACGTGAACGCTCTTCTTCGTCATGCCACCCATCTTTTCGTCGTACTGGAACCGCTTCAGATGTATCAGCAGCGCGTACTCCGGAAGACGGTGGACGCGGAGGAACTTCTCGGCCGTAACCTTCCGGCCGCAGTGATCGCAGTACAGCTTATTAGTGCCGTGGAACAACTCCGGTGCGCTGAAGTTTGCCATGCACTGCCGAAGTGAGGAGCCCTGCTCGATGTCGAGACTGAGATCCACAAAAGCCTCACGCATCACTGTCACGTGCTCGCACTCGAAGCACGCCGTCACCGACGCGAATTGGCCGCCAAAGATAGTCTGCAGCGGCGACACGGGTTTTCTGTCCCACGCCTCGGAGGAGTCTGTCAGTGTTCCAGTGGATACCGCTGCTGCTGTTGCCGCGGCCGCACTACGCACGTCCAAGGCGTCGCTGCTCCCCGCCATGCGGAGCGTAAGCGGCAGCTCCACGGCGTCCTCGCGCAACTCCACTGCCTCACTCAAGGCAACGCCGCTACTGCCGTTCCTTGTGCTGCGACGCCAGACACCCGGCCACTTTGGGCTCTTACCACCCTCCGTATCAAAGAATAGCGCGCAGTTTTTCTTATCCGTCATCATGCGCGTCTCCATCTCGATCATGCTGTTCAGAACGAACATCGCAAACTCATGGGCGTCGTGCTGGAGCTTGCTGTCAAACATCGGGTTGAGGTTCTGCACACAGGTGAGGAGCTGCTTCGGAGCAATGACCTCCTTCCGAAGCTTCTTGCTGTTGCTTGCCTTGTGCATCTTCGCAAACAGATCAGCGACGAGCGCTAGCACGGTGTCCTCCTCAAAGCCGGTTCGGCCCTTCCCCTTGGCGTACAGCTTGTGCACCTCCAGCAGCCGAAGTCGCAGCGGTGAGCAGTGGTAGAAGAGCTGCAGCACTGCGTTGCAGTAACACGTGTTGCCGTAGTTCTCCAACCCGGCGGGGTACCCGTTGATCTCCAGAAACCGTGTGTGGATGGGCAGCGCCGGCGCTGCTGACGACGCATTGCTGCTGGGGGAGCCCATCATGCCCTTGTCAAGTGGCGACACAGAGTGCATGTGGTACGAGCGTAGCATTGGCGTGGAAGGTGACGCCAGCATCCCTTCGCTCTTGTATGTCGGGATTGGCAACGAGGCGCAGGTGGCGGCAACGGGCAACGTTGAGGGACGCATCCCGTCCTCCATGAGGCCAGACGATGACTCCCGTCCTGGTGATCGCACAGTTGGCCTGCTAAAAGCGAGACTGCTACAACTGTCCTTACTCTTGTTATTGTTATTCTCGGTGCCGTAGAAACTGATCTCGTCGACCGTCAAAGGACTGCGCGACTTTGCCAACAGCGTCGATGTCAAGGGTGACTGCTGGTGTGGCGGTGCAACTGGCTCGCTCGGCGTGATGTAGCGCCGCTCGCGTTTAGGATCCTTCGACCCCTTCGCCCCCATTCTGTTAACACCGCTCCTTGCCGCTGTTCTATGCGCTATACACTTGAGTGTAGTGTACTGGGATGTGTGTGTGTGTGTGTGTGTGTGTGTGTGTATGGGCGTGCGGGACTGTCCTTACCGCTACGTTGCGGTGTGTTGCAGGGGGAACAATAGAGACAACAGAGACCTGCAGAGAAGCAAAGACACACACACACACACACACACACACATGCACACAGCGCGATCGAGAAAAGAATCTTATAAAGACATTGCCAACCGATGGGTATCGGTGCGTACGTGTGTATGTGAGACCGGTACAAAGGCGTGATTCTCCCCCTCCCCCAGACTCCTCATTTGTGCTCTACTCGCATCTGTGCCGCACACCGCGCGGTGCGTGGAGTGAGTGCAGAACCCATGCATGAGATATTCGCATCTCACACCACCACCACCACTAACAACAACAACAACAACAGTGACAATGAAAACATCAAAACAAACACAGTGAGGGTGAATGGCAGCTATCCACGCATGACGTTCTGCAACAGCTGCATGAAGGTGACATCGCAGGCATCGACCGGCAGCACCGTGGCCTCCGTCACCCTCTTGAACTCCGCGCCCACCCCGCCGTCCTCACGCTTCGACAGCTGCACGATGCCGTACTCCAGCGCGTCGTGCATATCGCGCGCCGCTACGCGGACGTCCGTCACATTGGCGCTGAGCGGCACCACCGTGCGCCCGAAGAAGCCGTCGCGGAGGTAGCCCTCGCGCTTCAGGATCTCGCCGTAGATGATCACCTGCATTGCGTAGCGGTGAAACTTGCTGTTGGGGAGGTGCATGAGGCAACCGCAGCACGGCGTCTCGAATGCACCGAAGCGGAAGGCGCTCGCAACGCTGCCACTCGTCTTCCAGTCGCCGATGAGGAGCTTTTGCGTGCGGCGGTTGCGCGCGATGAAGTCGACGGTGCCGCCGATGCCCCACGTTGGGCTCGCGATGACCTGCTCGACCGCCACCACGTCGTAGTTGCTGGTGATGGTGTCCACGACGCGATCCGCCACTGCCATGTACGCCGCCTCATCGCCGTGCAGCATCGCGCCCACAAGCGATGTGGCGTCTGTCTTTGATGCTGCTGCCTCTGCCGCCTTGTCGCTGGCGTCCGTCTTCTTCTTGCCGCCGCGCCTATTCTTCTTGGCCGCCGCCGCCGCCTCTTTTTGGGCTTTTTCCTGCTGCTGCTGGCGCTTGAGCAGCAGGGTCCACGTGGGCGGCGGCCGCCCGCAGAGCTTGTTCTCAATGTACTCGTGTATGTTCTTGCCGAGGAGCGCCTGCCTGTTCCAACCCGCCTTGATTTCCTCCACCGACTGCCCCGTTTTCTTCGACACGACCGCCAGCATGCGCTTCTCCTCGAAGGGGAAGTGCTTGTCGAGCAACTTGGAGACGGAGCGGAGTGTGGTGTTACCAATTTTGTACTGGTGCCACTTGCTGTCGAAGATAATGTCCACACCGGTGGGGTGCGGCACTCGCTTCATCTCTTTTTATGCTCTGTCTCTCTGTATGCCTCTCTCTAAATAAACAAATAAATAAATTATATTTGTTTATATATGTATGTGTATCAATGTAGACTTATTATTATACAGTCTTAGAGG